TCTACTGATCTCCCTTTGACTTTCATGAGATCTACCCCTACCTTTCTTTTCCTTTTTCCTATTTAGCTTCTGCATGTGAGAAAAAACATAGTACCCTTGGCCTTCAGAGTTTGGCTTATGAAAATGCTAATATTCTTGATGAGATACTTTCATTTTTTTTATGTGAAGTCTATGAGATTTGATGTGTATTTTATACTTAAGAGCAAATTTCTGATTGTACTAGCCACATTCCAAAGTACTTGATGGCCATGTGTGAGTTAGAAGCTAATAACTTGGGCAGTGTGAGTCTATGCTCTTTGGCAGAATTTTTCTGGCTTCTTCAGCTTTCAAGGTAGCCTCTTGGTTTTATTGAACATCCCTGATTCTCCTTTGTATTTTTGTTGACTTCCCTTTATCTCTCTTTCGTCACCCTCTGATAGATGCCACATACCCTCTCCCCCAAAAAATACCTGTCGCACTTCTTCCCAGACTTAGTTCTATCTCCTTCAAGTACCTAGAAGCTCCGTCAAACCGATAAGATGATCATAAGCATATTGCTTAAGTCAGGCTGAGAGATAGGAACTGAGAAAAGAGAGGAAAAGTGTTTTCACTTCCTCGTTTAGTCTAGCAATGCCCAGAACTCACTTCAGTGTACACTTTGAATATTTTTTGTTTTTCCTTCATTTTCACATTCTGTCAACCCCTGGGTCATATTTTCATCCTTTTGCAGGAATCTTATTCTACAAACATGTCCATATGCATCATTTGCTGTACTTACCACTCAGGCTTTGGGACAGCAGCTGATCTAAAGTGCACTTGGAATATCTGTGCAGCTGTCTATAGTAGCTACTTACAGGATGGCATGATTGATTTACTGGGTATCAGAGTATTGTGGTTGACATGCTCTTGGCTATTTAGGATGTCTTATTTTAGCCTGAGAAGGACTCTGAGAGTCTGTTTTGCATACATCCCATAGCATATATGATAAATCTGAATTATGAAGCTGCCTCTGTGTGTGTGAGCACCTCAGGATGAGATGTAACACCCTCACAATCTACTTACTTTGGAGTTTTATGCCAACCTGTTTTTGTTTTGTTTCTTTCTAGGGTGTTGTGGCAATAGAAATGTGTAGCTCTTGGGCTGGGGTTGTGGCTCAGCAGTAGAGCACTTGTCTAGCACGTGCAAGGCCCTGGGTTCAATCCTCAGTACCATATAAAATACATAAACAAAATTACATATAAGAGGAAGTGAGGGGAAAGGGAAAAAAAACAAGCTGGAGAAATGAATTACAGTAGATGGGGTAGAGAGAGAAGATGGGAGGGGAGGGGAGGGGAGGGGAGGGGGGATAGTAGAGGATAGGAAAGGCAACAGAATACAACAGACACTAGAATAGAAATATGTAAAACAGTGGATGTGTAACCCATGTGATTCTGCAATCTGTATACGGGATAAAAATGGAAGTTCATAACCCACTTGAATCAAATGTATGAAATATGATATGTCAAGCACTATGTAATGTTTTGAACAACCAATAATAAAAATTTTTAAAAAAGAAAAAAAACAAAATAAAGGTATTATGTGTAACTAAAAAATAAATATTTTAAAAAATGTGTAGCTCTAGAGAGTCAGCATGCTTTAACAGGCAGGTATTTGCACAGGAAATACTGCATATCACCAGGTTTTTTACTTACATTCTCTTTTAGGGAATAATATTGCCTCATAGGAATAGTATCCTTTGGGGGTTAAAATAGTATTGGCCCAATCTAGAGGATGAGGTCACTTAATACCATTTATAAATGAAAATAACTCACTTCTCACTGGCTTTCATCACTACTAGCATGTGTTAAATAACAAGTTTTTGACTCATAAAATTTAATAGGACCATCTGAAGGTTCAGGTTTCTCACCTGTTTGGGAAGATTAATGGACACCTGTTTGTACCCATGTTTCATTTACTCAGCTTCTATATTAACCGTCTCTAATAAAGCATTCTTGAGATTTCTAGGCACCTCCTCCCCAACACTTTAGCTAAGAATAAATGAAACTTAGCTAGTGCACGTCTATGATCCCAACAGTTTGGGAGGCTAAGGCAGGAAGATTATAAGTTCAAAGCCAGCTTCAGCAACTTAGCAGGGCCCTAAGTAACTTAGTCAGATTCTATCTCAAAAAAAAAAAGTTGGGGATGTAGCTCAGTGGTTGAGAACCTCTGGTTTCAATCCTTAGTACCAAAAGACAAACAAATAAAAAGAATAAAATAAAAGTCGCTCCCAGTGCTTAATAAAATAAATTATCTCTGAAATTCAGCTAACTTCATGATTCATTTCACTTTAAGGATGCTCTTAAATCATTCCTTGTGTTGTCTATATATGGACTAAGTTCATGAGAAATTACTTTGTTTTATAAAAATTAAACAAGTCACTAACTTCATGATTCATTTCACTTTAAGGATGCTCTTAAATCATTCCTTGTGTTGTCTATATATGGTCTAAGTTCATGAGAAATTACTTTGTTTTATAAAAATTAAACAAGTAATGAATAGATTTTATTATTCTTGATAAAATTCTCTGTGAGTTCTAATATGTGCATGTACATATCCAGTTATAACTGGGACATGAGAGAAACAGACTGACTTCAAGTAATTGTAAATACATAAACACAATATTTTAAAAGTAGAAACTATGAGATTATATATATATATATATATATATATATATATATATATATATATATATATATCCAAATAATCTGAAAAAATGAAGCATATTTTACATGAAAACTGCTTTTCTTTGCATTGAGATTGGACTAGAGTTTAGGTTAACAGAGATTTCCAATATCAGAAAGCTGAAAAAATCCTCTGGCTCCATACAGCCTGCTCCATGCTGGAAAATACTGAGTTGGTACTTTTGCTCTCATAATCAGCTCTGCAATATCAATCCTAATAATGATCCTGGGGTATCCCATTGTATATGAGCCTTTAAGTCTGAATTCTGGTGTGTGCATGTAGGTGTGTGGTACACTTATTATGTGGAATTTTAGACTTAATCTAACTTTATCCTAGACTCTTGCTTCACACACTTCTTTTTGTTTCAGAATTTGGAAGAAATCCTATGGCAAGATAACCTAGAAAATTAGTATCAGGTTTGGGATATGTCCACCATTTTGAATGGGCAGCCAGTATCTATTTCTTGGGTTTGAAGTTGTTCTCCTTGATGATAAGGTTTTGTAAGACTTCAAGTTACCCAGGCATGTATCTGGGAATAGCAGAAAGAACATGTGTTTTGAAATCCTATAAACTTGGAGGCAAATACTGCTCTGACGCTAACTATGTGGCCCTGGATAATCTTATCTTTACAATTATTATATCATGCTTATTATAAACTTGTTGAGAAAAATAGAGATTATGTCCTCAAATCAACTAGCCAACTGTTTTGCTTGTAGTTTTCTATCAAGCTGGGCTGGGGTTGTGGCTCAGTGGTAGAGCGCTTGCCTAACACATGTGAAGCCTTGGGTTCAATCCTCAGCACCACATAAAAATAAATAAATATGGGCTGGGGATGTGGCTCAAGTGGTAACGCATTTGCCTAGCATGTGCGGGGCGCTGGGTTCTATCCTCAGCATCACATAAAATAAAGATGTTGTGTCCACCGAAAACTGAAAAATAAACATTAAAAAATTATCTCTCTCTCTCTCTCTTTAAAAAAATTCTTTAATTCTCTCTAGCTTCTGCATATGAGAGAACATTCAATCCTTGACTTTCAGAGTCTGGCTTATTTCATTTAACATGATATTATCCAGTTCCATTCATTTCCCTGCAAATGACATAATTTCATTCTTCTTTGTGGCTGAGTAAAACTCCATTGCATATATATGTATACCACATTTTCTGTATCCATTTGTCTATTGAGGAACACCGAGGCTGAATCCATAACTGCTATTGTGAATTGTGCTGCTATAAGCATTGGAATGCAAGTATCACTATAGTATGTTGATTTAGTTCACAAGGAGTGTGATAGCTGGGTCATATGGTAGATTCATTCCTAGTCGTTTGAGGAATCTCCATACTGCTTTCCAAAGTGGTTGTACTAATTTGC